AGTACCAATTATTAAAAAGAATCTTGTAAGTGTTTATATCAAACTATTTTTGTTTATTTGATATGATGTTTTGTACTATTATTATTATAGGATATCATGTCATATAATAAACTAAATGTATTTCATTGGCATCTTGTTGATGATCAATCATTTCCATTCGAGAGTACAGCTTTTCCTGAATTATCCCGAAAAGTAATTGATTGATACTCGATTTGTTTCGATGTATATATAAATGAATAATATTTTAAGGGAGCATTTTCACCTGATCATGTGTATACTCCAACAGATGTTGCTGATGTTATTGAACATGCTCGACTACGTGGTATTCGTGTTATACCCGAGGTCTGATAACTGAAATTTAGTTGCTTTTGAATTAATGTCTTGAATTCATAGATTGACACACCTGGTCATACTTATTCGTGGGGTAAATCAATGCCTGAATTGATTACTGTATGTTGGGCAGATGGAAAACCTTATCAGGCAATATACGGAGTACACGGAGCGATGGAAGTATTTAACCCAAGTGAACCACGTGTTTATTCAACAATGGATACATTACTTCGAGAGGTGAAACAAAGATTTCCTTCTAATCACATTCATCTTGGTATGGATGAAGCATACGATAGATGTTGGTAAGTTATTGAAATATATGAAAAATAAAACAATAAATATTCTTCTTTTCGTATTTTAGGCTTTCTAATCCTAATCTTACTCAATGGATGCCAACAGTGAATATCTCGAATGTAAAAGGTCTTCATGCATACTATGCAGATCGTATTTTAAATATTATGCGTAATATCAGTTCTATACCAATTGTTTGGCAAGATGTTTGGGATGAAAACGTTACAGTATGATATCTTTGAGCCTACATCAAATTGTCTTATCGTTATTTTCTTTATTTCTTTAGCTACCACTAGGTACTATTATACAAGTATGGAAGGGTGATAATGGTTTATGGGGACCCTATTTGGATAAAGCTGCCAAACAAGGTTACGATGTTATCCTTTCCACTCCTTGGTATTTAAATTTAATTAGTTATGGCAAGTACAATACAAATGCATCTCTAATGAATTTAGAATTTTTTAAACATTATGAAATTGAACCACTCATGAATTTTACTGGTATAATCAATAGTATAAAGGCAATTGCTTTGTATGAATTTATCTTATAGGTACTGAAGAGCAGAAAAAACATATTTTAGGTGGAGAAGCTTGTGTTTGGGCTGAATTCGTCGATAGTACTAATTTATTGACAACTCTTTGGCCTAGAGCATCTGCTGTTGCTGAACGATTATGGAGTGCTGCAAGTGTTAATAATCCTGAAGATGCTCAATTTCGATTAGTAAACTATTTATCTCGCTAGTATTCTTTTCAACATATACATTCTTCTCTGTTCTAGGATGTTCATCGATGTCGTCTATTGAGGTTAATAATATTTAAATATAAAAACTAAAATAACTTTTCTTTTACATTAGACGAGGAATACCTGCTCAAACAATTCTACCTGGTTATTGTGGAAACTATGAATTAGGTATGGCCAGATCAATGATAGATGATCCAGCCTTCAATTACCAAGAATCTACTTGGATTGATGTGATAACACCGTTACCGAGTGCTGCAGCTGCATCAATAAATGTATTCACATCAATGAGTTTATTTTTAATTATGAAAATAACATGCTTTATGATTTCATTTCGTTATTAATTTTACTATTGACATATTTTTTTATTTTCGTTACAAATGGTACTAAAAGTTCAATTTTATCTAATATGATTATACTCGTTGCTCTTTTCATTTCTCTTATATACTTACATATATATATATTCAATAGTTAGTTGTGAAGGACATTAATATAGATTCTATGCATGTGTGTAATTTGATCTTTTCAATAAATATGTGCAACAGAAACAAAAATTGTCTATGAAACCAGTAAACGAGAAAAGATAAGATGAGGGTGGTGTGAGTAAGACTACTTTCAACATCATCTGTTCGAAAGTCAGTATTTTTATGTAAAGAATGCAGGAAAAGCAGCAACAAATAAAACTACCATCAGCATGGAAACCAGATGAATGGGTTTGTCATCATTCGAGTAGTCGTCAATCAACGAGACTGGATGATTATTTTCATCGACAATCGAAAATGAAATCACCAATGACTGCTAGAAATATTGATACACCATTATCACCTAAACGAATAAGTACAGCAAGACTGAGAAGACGTAAGTTTATTTTTATTTACAAGACTCATGTATTAATTTTTAATAAAATTATAGAAATCGAAAATTTAAGTTTAAAAAGTACAGAATATCGAATGTCCGGTCGTAAATCAAAAGTTAAACGATTAACAGATACAACTACCCCAATATCATATAGAAGTTTTTTAACTTATGCAAGTCGTCATGGACTAACACCACCTATACATATTCCTAAAATGTCAAAACAATCTTTAAAACGATGGCTTGATGCACGAGATGCATATCTTGGTCATAATTATCCATATATAATGGAACGTTTTAAACGTCGACGTCAACAAAGAACAAAATCAACAAAATCAGCAAATGAAACATATAGAACCATAGATTATGATGAAGCTATATCTATGTTTTCTATTGATCCAGATAGATATTCCAATTCAAAATTAATATTAAGTGGAAAACAACGTCGATTAAGTCGAAAAGATAGTCCTCTAAAACGAATTAGTCATTCAGAAATTAATCTTCGTCGTTCTGGTGGTTTTTTACAACGTATTAAATCATTTGTTCAATCACCTGTTAGTTCATTAAATCGTCTTTCATGTCGTAAACAACCAAAACAAACGAGAACACAAATTATATATGATTATTTCGATGATAAATGTGTTGGTACTGAAATAAATGCTCGAACAATATCTAGAACAGATATAAAACATAATGATCAAGCTATACAAGTTAATTTACCTCGTCCACAATATAAGTTATATCATGAATTTGATACAAGTATGGTCGTAGGTGAAAAACAACAACGAACACGATCTGTTCGACGCTATATCAACTATAGTGACAAAGCAACAGACACAGATTTCATCTTAAATTTTATAAATGTCGAGAAAGAAAGAAGAGAAGAAAAGAATATAGATGCTGATGAAAATGATAAGAGTGCTCGTCGTAATAGAGAAAAAGAAAAAGTAGACCCATATAACGAACAGTTTAACGTTCAACATCAATTATCAACAACTAATAATACAGGTAATCAAATAGTACCACCAATAGATTTACTTCATACATCAATGGACAATGAAATAAATAATAAACAAAATGGATCAAGATCAACAATTCTTAGTCCAACTGAATCCAATATTTCCGTTCATGAGCAACTTCACAGGTAAAAAAAAACAATCATAAAATTTTCTTACATAATTAAATGACATCTTTTGTTTTACTCTCTATAAAATATTGTATACATTACTTAACTCTGTCAATACACTTTTTCTTCTTCACAGATGAACTTAGTGCATACATATATACGATGAGCACAAAGAGAGAGAGAGCGTTGTCTTGGTATCCAACTATACCTTTGTATATAGACGATTGAAAGAGTATACATATACATATATAATAGAAGTAAGAGAAAGAAGGAACAAATAAAAAAGAAAGAAAAGAGAGCTCATAGCATTTGTTGAGCAGACAACTACAGTGATATTTAAAAGGTATCTTTGAAGTTTGTCATGCAGCTAGTATAAATGACGGATCATCCGTTATCATTATCATCTTCAGTACCAACATTAGTTGAAACAAAATCTGATCGTTATAGACTGCGAGTTCGTTTCAATCGACTGTCAAAAGAACGACGATTACTTGCTGGTTTATTGATTCTATTCGCTGTTATTATGTGTGGTCTACTTGTTGGTATTTTTATTCTATCATGGACATTTCAAGGTATGTTTTTTTCTTACTAAACAAAAAAGAAAAAGGATATAAACCTTTTGAATACGAAGCAATATGTTCTTCAATTAAATCTAATTTCTAAATATGAAATACTCATTCATAGGACGAACTTCGATTATTTATCGAGAAATAAATTCAACTGATATTGGTACTACTACTATTACCATTGGAGGTAAAAAACTGAGTTCTTGAGTCTACTTTATCTTTCTTTTTTTCTGAACACTTTCTATTTATGACCTTATTACACATTATTCTTATCCCTTTGTCTCACTCGAACTATATAGCCTTACAACAAAATGAACGATATACCTTAAACTCACTTGACAATATCAATACAAGTATTATTCATACAATAATTTTGCCTACAAGTACTGAAAAACAATGTATGAGCATTCTCTTGTTCTTAGTACGATATTGTTCACTCTTTTTCTTTTTGCTATTATGCTTTCTTTAACGCACACTTGCCTGCTTTGAATTCGGTGTTTATTTTTATTGTTCTTTATCGTTTTATATTTTTTTAAATGAATATAATTAAATATTAAATAGTTAGCTAAAACAAAATATCTTTTTCTCTATTGTCATAGTGGCTCGATATGGTGAATCATGTGATAATGATACTAATTGTGAACATCCATTCGTATGTTATAAAAAAGGTTCATCAATACCGGGCATGTGTCGATGTCCAATGAAATATGATTTTGTCAAAGATCAATGCAGTAAGTGTGATTTAAATATCATCACGATAAAAATTTATTAAAAACTATAAAATTGTCTATAAGTTGGTGATCTGAATGCTTTGTGTACAAAAGATACTGATTGTCAACGATATATGTCATGTTCGGGTATGAAAGATGGAACACGTCGATGTCAATGTCAAACACAATTTAATTATGATGATGAAAGAAGACGATGTCGTGAGTATATATGTATTTATATAATTACAAAATCTGTTATTTTTATTCAGGTGGTGATTATGAAGCTCCATGTGAGAGTAATATTGATTGTCGAACAAATCTTGTTTGTAATAAAACAAATGTATCATCATTTTGTTCATGTGATTCACATTATAATTATCATCCGTCAGGACGTAAATGTCGTGGTAATCCAGGTGCTGTTTGTGATCGATTGACAGCTGAATGTGTTGATAATGCTGAATGTCGTGATGGAGCATGTGAATGTTCAAATCAGTTTGTACCTGATGAAAATAAAATATGCAGTAAGTATATAAATAAATTTTTATTTTTAAAATGAGAAGAAATTTTTTTTTCAATTAATTTAGTTGATCCATGTCCAGTAAAAATACAACATCAAGCACGAATTCGTTATCCAGGCAATTGTCGACGATTTATTGATTGTCAACATAAGTAATATAAAGGAGTGAAATTAAGAATTATTCATTGTGTTTTTTGTTTAGATCAAAAACAGAATGTCCAGAAATGACAATATTTAATTTACATACTCAACTTTGTGACTATCCTAAAAATGTATTCGATTGCCGATAGAACTTTTTTTTCTTCATTTAGTATTACTTATTTGTTTTTCTGTATGACAAAATGAATTTTTTTTTAAACAGTTTGATCATTTTCTTCTTCTTATTCATATGTCGATTCAATAAGAAATTGTGTAAAATCTTATGATAAAAATTTCAGAAATGCAAATTTAGAATAGAATTAATCGAACTTAATTAATACAAATATAAGGTATTCGACTTTGCATAAAGATTGTATTCAAATTATGTCAGTCATGATCATTGTGGCTTCATACAACTATAAATTGAATATTTTAGTTTTACTATGTATTCACATGATATCTATAAGTATATTAATTCAAGCCATTTTCGACAAATAGTTGCATTATCAATTCTGGATGGAAATTTCGATTCATTAGTTGGAGTTATTCTTAGTCAGGGATGGCACGACCGAGGGGTGTTACCAGGGGCGTAAGTCAGGTGTCTGAGCAGGGGGGGAGTACAACCTTTTTTTTCCATTTTGGCGACCAAAAAAACGAAATTTTCAAAAGTAGGGGAGGGGGGCGTAAATCCCTTTTTTCCTATTAGTTTTCAAAATCAGGGGGGGTATTGCGCCCCACGCGCCTATCCCCCCAATCTTCGATAATTTCTATTTTTGCGCAACAAAATCGGCAAATTTGTACAGGTTTTTTTACCAAAAATTTTGCTACAACCCCCCCCCCCCCCCCCCAATGTTGGCTAATTCGCGCCACCCCTACTCTTAGTGCTTCACTTGTTATTAATATCGACCTTTCTTTAATTACAGTTTACTAACTACTGCTCGATCAAATGTGGGTTGTCATTCTACAGAAATATTAAATGAAACAGCTATTTAAATACTTTCAAATGGCGCCATCTCTCGATAAGTTGCACGAATAAGTTTTTGTATTAACCAATCATAGATTTGATTTCTTTCGTATATATTTTATATAGTACTCTCATTTTATTTTTGCCTAAAATTAATATAAAACTTTTTTCAGATGGTAAATTCACCTGTTTCTGCATCGAATGAGCAACGAAATGATGATCGTGTTTTTTCATATTTAAGCAAAGTTGAAGATTTTGTCATGTAAGAATATTTATCTGATTCATTTCATTAGAGAAATTTCTTCTTTTTTAATTAAAAGATCTGATAAACAACGTTCGGAAACATTTTCTAATTATATTAAACATTTTGCTGATCTTAAATGTTCACTTTTACCATCATCATTCACTACCGTTACACCATTATCAGTACATGTAAAAGGCTTTGAACCTGAACAAATTTATCAACAGCTTAAATCAATAAATGATACACGATTTAAACCATTCGTAGCTACTATTGCTAAAACGAAAACAAAACAAAAAACATTTGGTAATTTACTTCAACCACCGTCTCCTGAACCATCATTAAACGAAGAAAATAATGATGACGATGAAATTAATGATGAAGAAATATTAACACCACCAAAAAAGACTCCAAAAAAGAAAAAATCTGTTACGTAAGAATTTTTTCAAGAAATATTTTATTTATTTTCAATTTAATCATATCTAGATTCTTTGATTCAAATGCTTTAAATAAATTTCTTGATGAACAAGATGTTCAAGAAATGTCAAAGTAAAATTTCTATATTATAAAAAATAATATAAATGTATATCTGTTTAGTTTCAATCGAAAGACAACACCTGAAGACGAAGATGATCTTGAATTAGATGATGATGAAGATGACGGTGGTTTATTTGCTGATGAAGATAATGTAATTTGAAAATAAAATATTTTCCTCGATATTCTATTTCTATATATTTAGGAAGGTGCAATTTATGATAGTTTTTTCGATCCACCAGATGAGAAGAAAAAGAAGAAAAATAAAAAAGATAAAATTGAAAAGTATGTTATATCATTTTTCATTCAAAACATATTCTGTAATGTTTATATCTTTAGTAAAAAGAATCATATGGATTCGAATCTGGAAAATCTAGCAGAAGGTAAAGAAGAAGAACAAGAACAAGAAGAAGATGAAGAAGATTATGATGATATGAATCTTGAAAATAAATCTGATTTTGAAAAACAACAAATACATGTAAATATCATTTAATATTATTCTTTCTCTTAACTTTCTTAATATTTTTAGTTAAAACGTCAAATAAAATCAATCGAAAAAGATATGTTAGATGCTAAACCATGGCAATTAACAGGAGAAATTGAAGGTCAAAGACGTCCAGAAAATAGTTTACTTGAAGAATATCTACAATATGATCGAACTACACGATTACGTACATAAATAAATTTATATATTCGGTTTTTTGTCTCATTTTGATTTTTATTTAGCTCCGGTAATAACAAATGAAACTACGGATTCATTAGAAGATTTAATAAAACAACGTATACGTGATAAAGTATTTGATGATGTTGAACGAAAAAAGAAAAATCCACATGGTGATGAAGCTCAAGCATATAAGAAAGAAATTTTACTTGAACATGAAAAAAGTAAAATGAGTTTAGCAGAAGTTTATGAACAAGAATATCTCAAAAAGCAAACAGTAAATTTAAACAAATTTTTATTAACCTAATTTAATCTTACGAATTTTTTTCAGAATGATAAAACAGAAAAAAAAGACGAAAGACATGAAACTATTCGAAATATGATGCAAGATTTATTTGTTGATCTTGATGCTTTATCAAATTTCAGATTTACACCAAGACCAGTAATTATTCAAATTGAATTTATCTTACAAAACAATAATTTTACTTTTCTTTTTCTAGCCTGTACCAGAAGTAACAATAGTAAATAATTTACCTGCTATTTTAGTTGAAGAAATTGTACCAACAACAGTTAATGATTCGACATTACTTGCACCAGAAGAAGTTCATGTAAGAAATCGAATTAAATTTCGGTGAAATTTATTTGTTAATAATTTTAGATAAGACCAAAAGGTGATGTTAAAGCAAGTACTGAACGAACTGATACGGATAAGAAACATGCAAGACGTTTACTTAAACATAAACAAAAATTAAAATCAAAAGATGAACCAAAGAAATCGACTCCAGAAGAAGAATCGAAAGGTATAGAATTAAAGAAATCAATATATATATAATTAATTGTATGTTATTATTTTTTTCAGTAGAAAAACGAGATTTATTGAAAAAACTTGGTAAAATGAAGAATGTTCGAATTGAAAAAGTAAGATTTTTATTTAGTTTTATCGTTTATAAGAATTTTCATTTTACTTCTAGACGGATAAAAATCGATCAAATGAAAAAACAGCTCGAAGTTCAACGAAATTCTTCGAAAAACTTCAGCAATCAACATTAACAGCTCCAACAAAGAAACCTCGTCGTTCCGATAGTACAACAATTACAGATTCTAAACGTTTGAAACTGTAGACAAACTATTTTGTTTTTGTTTGTTTTGTTGTTATTCGCATATTGTCGAATAAAATGAAAAAAAAACACTTATATAAGAAACAGATTCTCCATTACAATAACCGGCATTTAAAATAAAATTTGATTAAAGATGAAAAAATAACTGTTAGGAACAGTTGGATTAGATCTGCCAGTGTTTTATCTAGGTTTTTGCTTTCGGGAGGGCGAAATCGTTCTCCGGAAGGGCGCCGCCATCTGTGCCCTCCCGCTAGATAAATCACTGAGATCTGCAAATTTAACCTCAGCTACATTTCATTATAGTTGTTTGTATTGTGCGTCAATGGAAAAGATAGATCGAAAACTTTTATCTATTTTTATGATAATAGGTCGCTGTTTGCGTTATACTTCACTCTTGTTTAATTGACCTATGACGAAATTTCTATTTTAATGCTGTCCTAATAGATATATAATTTTTAGGTAATTATTCCTTTATGATCTATACGAACAAGTAAGTTAGAGTATCCAAATGCTATCAAGAATTTCTGCTCCATCAATTGTATTTCATGATACACGGAAGTATGAATCATGTTGTACATGATAAACAAAGATTTCACAAATTTCATTTTTGTTTTATCAGCCACTACATATTTATCTTTCGTCAAACAAATGTCTTATCTTTTCTCTTGTATCCTTCGATGTTTCTTTTTCCTCATATAAAGAATCGTTATCTTTCAATTGTTGAATTACATTGTCTTTTGCTTCTATAAATATTACTTGAGTTGTTTCATCAGTATTAAAACAATCATGTTTAGACAATTTTTT